TGCTCCTGATGAAATGCAACATCGTCCGCATCCATTGCAAAATTTTATGGACCCTGTATGATATCTCTTTAATGACATAGAAAAATATGGGATTTTCTTTACGCGGAACGCATGCATCTTGTTGGGTGTAATCACTAAGCGCTAATGCAACGAATGATCAGGCTCCAAATTTTTGGGCAATTAGAAAACTTTTTTAAAAGCTAATTATACTCCTTTCTTAAGTATAAAATATAAAGAAGACGTAATTCTCTATTGGATGATTAAAAGAAAGCACATTTTTGTTTGCGGTTTCCATAAGATATATTTGAATTTCCAAGTCCATCGAAAATCAATGGGAAAAATGCATGCTACACATGTAGTCATTTTTTACCGAGCACGCTTTCTACAGCAGATTAAAAGAAGTTCATTTGAAAGCCGACATCCTGCCGAGTCTAAAATGTTGTAAGAGTATGCCTTAAGATAATCAGTATTACAACCGCGACCAAGTAATCCTTCCTAATCGAAAACGCATTTCAGAATTTCAGCCAACATTTCATGTAATAGGTCACGCACTGTACTGTTGTGTGACTATTATTTAGAGTCCTCACAGGTGACTGCATAATGACAGCAGTTGTGTTAAATAAGCAGGACCAGAAGACCCACTGTATCTTAAAATGAATAATCAGCAGGAACGTGTAGCCTTCGGCTTGGCGTTTCTCCAAGCAGCTTCCCAAAGATATATCGCTTATGCTGAATGTTGTCGATTTTATGTCGCTAAATAATATGCTTATTGGGGCGGCGCATATTCATTGAAAAGGTGTTTGGCATCATCATCATCATCATCATCATCATCATCATCATCATCATCATCATCATCGTGTTTTACCTCACTTTCCCTGAGCATGCGTTTTTTCAGAACGCTTGTTAAAGGAAAAAACTGATCTGCGTGCTGCCGTCTGTGTTATGAACACCATGGATCGTCTTCATAGAAATAAGACATTCAGGCAAAACTTAGAGGATGCAATTTATTAAGCATCATTCTTTGTGCCCACTTCCTTGAAAATGTTAATGGACTTGCACGAGTATTGGAGAACAACTAAGTGTGATGTTTGCAGGTGTCTGTACAGCTGCCTTATTTAAAGTCCATGACAATACCGACAAAGAAAAGGTAGACTACAATGGCCATTTCTGGCTTGTTAGCCGTCGTCAGCCAGCTGTGCCCAACCCCGAAATGTGAAACACTTGGGACTCGATCCCGCGATCTCTTATTTAGAAGTTCAACGCTTCCAAATACTGAGAAACGGGCTGTTGTCCTGTCGGTTTTGATCGGGAATATTGATCATGACTGGCTGACGATGGTTGATAAGCCAGAAATGGTCACTTCAGTCTCTCTTATCTTTGTCGGCAATGCCATTCTGCGGTTGATGGCTGGGCTCGAAAGAGATCCCATAGGCAAAGCGGACGAGGGTGTTCCGTAAGAACGATCGGTGAGTGCATCCCTGCACCACTGTATATTCCTGATCGAAACCGACAGGACAGCGAGCTAGCGGCCCAGTGGTTTGAGGAGTCGACTTCTAACTAACAGTGTGCTAGTTCGAGCCTTTGGGTGTTCCACACTTCGGGGTTGGGTATGACTGGCTGACAACGGCTAATGAGTGAGAAATGGCCATTCCAGTCTCCCTTGTCTTTGTCGGTAAGAACATAATGCCTATATCATGCGCCGTTTTGCGGCTGCTGGTTGGGCTCGAGAAAGAGAGATTCTCAAGGCACAAAATGACAAGTGAATTTCCTAAGAACGGTCGGCGAACGCCCCCTGCCATAAATATTCCATATTCGAAGGCATGTTTAATGATTTCGTTCTATTTTTAATTGATTTCTGGGCCTTATTAAAACAATTCTCCATTTTCGAATACAAAATGTAATGTGATAACCGCAATTCAGACTATGAGTACAGGATGCCTCGAACATTTTACAATTAACCTTATATTTTTGCACTTTTTGAAAAAATTGGTTCCAAATACTGCACTAATTCGTGGAAAATATTTACCTCAAGGGTTATCTAGGAGTTTGTGGTTTTGCCGTTCTACTTGCTCACTTGTTTGTGTGGACATACATTGTGTGTTTTACAAGGAAAAATTAATCTCTTGATGCGAATCTTTGCATTATCAGGCAAAATGGTGGAGGCATTGCGACCGGCTTCCGATTGGTCAGTAATTTTTTTAAACTCAGGCATATTCTACTGGGTTACGCTAGCTTCTGTAGAAATGTGGGGTTATTAAGTAGTCATTTCGTAAGTGCTACAGGGATACTGGCATCGCCGTATTCGACTTATTCGTCGCCGAGCGCCGGTCGCAGGTACACTCCACCTTGCATGCGGCAAGCGAACCATTCCCATCTGATCTTTGTGTCCTCCCCATCTAAAAGGCTGGTTGGCATCAGTAGATGACCCCATCGGTTTGGTTCGTTAGGCCGCCATGTCGACTGTTGGTTTGTAAAGGTCGTCCGTTTTTATAACTCAGCGTGAGTTCTTTCACGGAAGTGTTGGAAACCATATCTATGTTTCCAGCTGTCGACAACCATGTTGTCTGAGATAATTGTGATTAACCTGAGTTTTGTGCTCTACAGTGTCGTAAATGACCTCAAGTGAAGAAGACCTTATTTGCCCTGTTCACTTTTGAAAAAGTAGTTCGGTGTTTTAATCAGCAGTCAATGAAAAGCCCAATGACATTTTGAAAAAAGACTGCCAAAAAGACTAAAGTAGCGCATGAGAACAAATAGTTTATTCAACCGTTTACGTAGGATTTTCGCTACAAACCGCTGAATAAAAGACAAGCATTTAGTCTTTTCAATAAAAAGGCGAGGCAATCAATTGATCTTTCACCAAACAAAAACAACTAATCCCACCCCCAAAAAAGTCCTTTATGTATGAGCACGGAAGGGGATGGAATAAGTAATTGTGGCTGAATAGGGACTTCCGCCGCCTCCAGCAACTGAAGCTTCTGTATAAAAAGAAAAGCGTTTTGTAAGAAACATGCGCGCAATTGAGTTCTGAATGAGGTTTTATCGTTTTTTGTAATTCTGGAAAATTTTCATATCAAGTAGCAGGCTTTACGATCTATTTTTACCTTGGAAAATAAACGGTGTAGACGCAGGGTTCGCTGCATTTGTTTAATTTAGTTCAAATCAAATTCTTCTCCGATCGATTTATTCACTAACCAACCCTGAAGCGTCAATGTTCCAAATAATCCTTGAAGCGGGATCTTATTAGCTTCTACACGATTGCCATTGATCATTTCTATTTTACTATTGTCATATAATGATTACAAAGTGTCTGACGACTGCTCGGAACTACAGTAGGTGGAATAACTCATGAAATGTCTACTGAAATTCCGAAATGCGTTTTCGTTTCGAAAAGATTAATTAAGTAGGGTTTAAAAACTAGTCAGCTTGCAACATACTTCTATAATATTTCAGTCGCCTCAGGATGCCAACTTTTAAACAAACTTCCTTCCGGCTACATATAAATCTACACTCCGTATAAAATGACTACTTAATTAGCATGAATTTTTTTCATTGATTTTCGGTGCATCTAAATGTCCAATTACATTTCATGGAAAACATGCATAAAAATATTCATCCTTTTGCTCATCCGGTAGACAAGTAAGTCTTCTCCCAATCTTATACACGAAGAAACGGCACAATTCGGTTTCCACAAACTTTTCTAATTCCCGAATAATTTTGAGCCCGCTCTGCCGTTACACTTGCATTCAGGGTTTCGAAGCTACAAGCCGTATATTTTCCGCGTACGGAAATCAACGCATTTATCTACGGTAGTAAAGGAGGACTATATGGGGTTCATAAAATTTGGCAGTGGATTTGATCCATATTATCAACTTTACAAACCACATTGGTAAATGCAGAGACATGACGATGTATGAACGGACATTTCACGGTATTTAAAAGTCACACAATTAGAAATTTTTTTGAAAACCGAATTATGCTCCTCTTCCGTGTATGCAATTAAAAGAGGACGTAATTATCTAGCGAATGAGGGAAAGAATGAATATTTTTATTCATTTTTTCCAAAAAATATAATTAGACATTTAGAGGTATTGAAGAGCAACGAAAAAAATGCCTGCTAATTATGTAGTCATTTTTTACAGAGTGTTGTGTTTACATGCAGCATAATCTACAAATAGCTCATTCATGCCAGAGTGCCGATTTTTCATTGAGCATTTTTCTGACAGTCTTTAAAAACAGCACTTGTTAAGACAGGACTATGCAAGTGGTACAATTTTGTCACTTTGCTTTTGGATGTTCCTATGTGTTTAAATATATTTCGTGAAAAACAGACGCAAAAATATTTTGTGATTATTTTGTAGTAAGTTACGTCTTTGATAAAATCTATACTTAAAGAAGGAGTATTTTCCATCTAGAAAACTTTATTAATTGTGGGACATTTTAAACCGCAGAACGATCGTTTGTACAGCATCATTTTTATCTCGTTGTTAATGCCGTTAAGGATGCATACAACATAGTCTAAATTCATTGAAGACTTTTATGAGTGCTATCTGATTTCTTCATAAAAGTGTTGAAAAGTCTATAACTCTCAATACACCGACCGTAGGCTAGAACGTGATAGGTTCTTCAAAATGTGAAGATACATTTTCTTCAAGCTGAAAATTTAAAAAAGATGTATTTGAATTCATAAGAACATCGGAAATCAATGCAAAAATTTTAAACTGCAAAAATAATCTTTTTTGCCGAGCGTTATTTTATCAGACGAGTTTAGAAGTCGTATCTTGTGGCGACTGAGGATAACTCGTAATTGTGCTGGTTGACAATCAATATTACAACGCCACCTTTTAACTGCTCTCGCAGAATACTGAAGCAGGGATGGCAAGACAGGATGTCTGACAAGGCAGCTCTAGAACCGACCGGTATCCTTAGCATCCACGCCATGCTGAGGCAACTGCATCTCGTGAGGATGGAAGATAACTATCTGCCGAAAAAATTTTCCCATGGTGATGACGCCACCGGGGCTTGCCGACTGGCAGAACCAAGTCCAAACACAAGACTCGCAATCCACAAGTGCCTCGCCTTCGAAATGCCAACCATCCGCCGCTTCCAACATGTCCGAGATACTAACGCGCATCGACCTCGTTGGACACCTTTGGACCCAATGTGCCATCAGCCCGACATCTGACTATTCACACACTCTCGCACTCGCCGCAAACCCTGTGCTGGCCGCCATCCCCGTCACCGCTGATCAGCCCTCCGCCATCGTCCACCGACAACACCTACCCTGCCTTAACTACTGCCTCGACCCCAGCGGCCAACATCACCGCCGCCACGACTTCACGCACTCACCACCGATGGGACAACGTCTATTGTCCCATCACCTCCTACCACCCACACTCCCACCTTCAGCGATGTGGACTCGTTTCATGCCTGTCCCCATTGAGACCGCGCATTCACCTCACGCATCGGCCTGGTCGGTCACTTGAGAATCCCTCGCACAGAGGTTGGCGAACCGATGCCCGGAACACCCATCTACACTCACCTTACCGGCTTCCACTGTCCTCACTGCACCCGGCCGCCGAACCAGCCTATCAGGTCACATGAGAATTTGTGAAAACTTGTGGTAAATAACCGCCGGTTACGTCACACATCACCCACCAGCGCCCGCATCACACAAAAACACGGCAGGCACTCGATTGCCACATCTCCTACGGCTCCTCTGTTGCATGCGTGATCCGAGTCTGAGATTGTTAGGGTACGCCAAGCGCCGCGGTTTGAAAAGTTACCGACTGACGCCTCAATTCAGTCCGCGCAGTCTGCCCTGTTGCGTGTGTCTCATGCTGACTGAACGGTGGTCCAGGCAAATGAAGAGTCGTATGTCGCACTTCGGGGCTTGAGAGCGTCGGCCATGCCATGATCAGCAAATCACGGTCCTCGCAGCCTGGTCTGCACTGGCAGTTCTCCGGTACCTGGTCCTCTGGTGGTAGATGCGCTTGCGCTAGCGCAGTGTACACAGGTCGTGAGAACGGTTGCCAAGTCATCCCCCTCTTTTTGATCCGTTATTGGTCAAAACCCTGTTCAAGTGTTTGTTGTGAACCGAGGGGTGTGGGATGGAGTGCCAAGGTGCAGTTTCGGCCGCGCAATCCACCTGCACCCCCGCCTCCGGTCTTTTTGATCCTGTCTAGACACCAGGCCCCGGTGGAGAGAAGGGGAGAGTGTGGCAGATGCTTCGCAAGTCACTGTGCTCGCCTCACCTTGCGGTGGGACGTACGATAGACGTCGTCGGATGCAGTGGTCGCACTGCCATTACAACCCCACCTAAGTATTTATTCATAGCCAAAAGCAAACTTTAGAATTTCGATGGACATTTAAAGCGATAAGCCAGCTACCGTATGCTTAGAAGTGGAAATAAACCTCAGGGATGGTTAGTTACGCCAGCACCCCTGGAAAATGTTTAAAGCCAAGAAATAGAATTGCGGACAAACCTCAAAAACGCCTGTTACAATGGCACTGATAGGGACATCTATTCCAGTGTCCTAAACATAACCCCAACATTACTCCTAGACCTAGGCTCAACCCCCCGAGTATTATGTAAAGCCATCTGTAATACGGGGGAGTGAATTGCCCATGTCCTGCCTATTCGTCTACTACATAAACTGTATATTGCCCTTTAGACGCGCCTTTCTGACATTCTGACAGTTTCTTATGTAGCACCTGTTTCTTGTTTGGCTTGCCAGTCTTTACAAATATGATCAAAATAACCTATGTTTCGTGCTGCCATAGGAAGGCCTCTTTCGTTAAAAAGCTAATACTTCTGCGCATGCAGACGTTTTATCGTAATTACGGTAGCCGGCCCATTTCATGAAATGTTGACCTGAATTCTGGGATGTGTTTTCGGTCAGAAAGCATATCTTAGGTGGGTTTTTAATATTAAATTATCTTGCAGCATAATCTATAAATGTCTCATTCATGCCAGAATGCCGACTTTTCATTGAGCATTTTCCTGGCAGTCTTTAAAAACAACACTTGTCACTTTGCTTTTGGACGTTACTACAGTTAGTGATCTAACTCATGAAATGTGTCGAAATTTACGAATGATTGTCAATCAGTCGCAAGCCCACACCATTTCATGAGTCCAATGTCTATGTTAATTAAGTACAAGTTTAAAGGAATTAAAAACATATAAGAAACATTAAGGCAATGTTGCGTTGTTTAGAAATTCCGATTTATTTTGAAAAGCTCAATATCCGGTAGAGCGTACGGTAGACATCGTCGGATGCAATGGCTGCACTATCACTACAACCCCACCAAAGTATTTCTTCGTAGTCGAAAATAAACTTTAGAATTTCGGTGGACATTTTAAGCGATAAGCCAGCTGCCGTATGTGTAGAGGTGGAAATAAACCCCAGGGATGGTTAGTTACACCAGCGTCCCTTGAAAATGTTCACAGCCAAGAAATCGAATTGCTGACCAACCTCAAAAATGCTTGTTACAATGGTAATGCTAGGGACTCTGTTGACCTCTGGAAAAAGTTTATTCCAGTTATGCAGTTCAAGCCTGACTGTTATAGTTGACGTACAGAGCACGTCTTTACTTCAAAGTTTCTAGCACTTACCTAATGCGTTTTCCTCAGTTGCTGCTCGGAACTGATGCAGACTGCTCGGAGCATTCACCTGACTCCCTTCACCCCGCTACAATATACAGTGCGTGATCGATCTCATGAAATGTTGACTGAAATTCTGAAATGCGTTTTCGATTAGGAAGGAATACTTAGCTTGGAATATTGCTCATCATGAGACATAATCCTATAGTATTTCGAACTTGTTAGGATATCGGCTTTTGAATGCACTTCATTTTGATCTTCTGCAGAAACCACACCTGGTAGAAAATGACTACTTAAGTAGCATGCATTTTGCACGTTGATTTTCGGTGGTCCTATAAATTCAAATATATTTTATAGAAAACATGCACAAAACTATGCTTTATTTTATTTTCTCGGTAGATAATCATTTTATCTTCACGTTTTATGCGCGAAGAAATGGTATATTTTGGTTTTAAAAAAGTTTTTTATTATAAAACGTTTAAGCCCGCGCGATGTCCATACATACAGCATCGCACATGCCCGTTTACTGGTGCTCCACATGAAACGTACAACATTGTCAGCGTCCATTACAAAATTTCAGTGAAATCCACATGGTATCTTTTTAAAGGCATACAGGAATATGTGATTTTCCTTACGCGGATAGCATGTACCATGTAGACTAGAATCTCTAAACGAATTGGACAACGTTTTCATAGCCTGAATATACGCTTGCTTCGAGTATACAACGTGAAGATAAAGTGATTGTTTACCAAAAGAATAATAGGAAGCATATTTTGTGCATGTTTTCTAAAAGATATATTTGAATTTATAGGACCACCGAAAATCAATGTGAAAAATGCATGCAAATTAAGTAGCAATTTCCTACCGAGTGTGGTTTCTGCAGAAGGTCGAAAGGAAGTGCATTCAAAAGCCGACATCCTTGCGAGTTCGAAATGCAATAGGATTATGTCTCATGATGAGCAACATTACAGTCCCACCTAAGTATTCCTTCCTAGTCAAAAACGCATTTCAGAATTTCAGCCAACATTTCATAAGATCGGTCACGTACTGTAGTACAGGTTTTATTTGTTTTTTTTAACGGTCCAGCTATAGTTGACTTGACCGAGCCTTCCGTCCTGCGTGTACCCAGATAGGAGAGATTTTCGTTAAATTTAGGAAACCATCACAAAATTGCGCGGACCTCAGTTCTTACAGCAGAAAAGCATTCGGAATCCACAGTCTCACAAAGCTGCCTTCAATGTCTAGAAGGTGCTTGTAGGCGCATTTTTTAAAGTAGTCCGCTGGCAGAATGTTTAGTCATCTTTTTAAGAAGCGAATCCTGAAGAGGCCTGATTAAGTGGGCATACGGATTACCCACTTTTGATCCTTATGGCGATTTTGAAGTTTTCTACTCCTATCTACTTGACTAAGCCAAAACTGATCCCTAACTTTTTGCTGTACGCTATACTATTAGGGTTTGGTCTGCTGCTACAGACTCAAGTCTGCATTTGAAGAAGGAGACACGATCGCTAGGACAAGAGCTTTATTAGCCTGACGTTTCGGGTTTCTGCTCGAACCCATCATCAGAGACAACAACGGATACAGGTGGCTCATGCACCAGGGGCTGCAGTATTTATAGGATGCAGTCGCCATGCTACCTCATTCCTATGAACATTCACGGATCCCCCCGTTCATCCGGGATCGTTGCATGTGGTGTGTTCATTGCTTGATGGTCGACGTTCGCGTCGTTAATTGCTGCAATTTTATCACGTGCGTTAGATGTTGGTGTGACGATGGCTCGACCATCTGACGCATCGACCCCGGTGTTGGGAAGAGTGTTCACTTGTGCGCTCCCCGCGTGGCCAATAACTCCGCCTAGGCGAAGTCTCAGCACCGAGTATTGAATGGGAAGATCATTGCCCTTGTTAATAGACTGGGGGCCAGTAAACCATGATTAAAGTAGCTCCCGGCTCACTCGGTTGTCACCTCTTGCGAGAATTTCGGCCTCGTCAAATTTGAACGTGTAGCCGGAACCCGTAGAATGAGCCGCAACTTGAGAGCTGGCGTTATTTCTCCGTACCGCTGCAGCGTGTTCAGCCATTCTTGTTCGGAGCTGTCTTCCGGTTTCTCCGACGTCGGTGCTTTGTCCGCAACTGCACCAGATCCGATAAACGACTCCAGACGTTTCTAGCCGTGGCAGCGGGTCTTTCGGGTTCATTACCTGACGCCTGGTGGTTGCCTCCGGTCTGTGTGCAACTCCAACCGCAAGTGGTGCGAGAAGGCGGCCGACAGCTTCCGAAACGTTCTTGACATACCGGAGCGCCCGCCAAGATTTGGTGTCCGTGCGGTTAGGCCTTTCGTTCCTTTTGCGTATGCACCGGTTGACAAAGTTACGCGGATAGCCATTGGCTTTCAATACCCGTCGGAGGTATTGTAGTTCGGCGATCTTGTCTTCCGGCTCACTGCAGTGAGTTTCGACACGCTGATAGAGCGTCCTTACACAACTGCGTTTGTGGCTGATTGGGTGGTTGCTGTTGAAATTCAGTACTTGCATCGTATTTGTCGCATCGTATTCGATGAGGCCGAAATTCTCGCAAGAGGTGACAACCGAGTGAGCCGGGAGCTACTTTAATCATGGTTTACTGGCCCCCAGTCTATTAACAAGGGCAATGATCTTCCCATTCAATATTCGGTGCTGAGACTTCGCCTAGGCGGAGTTATTGGCCACGCGGGGAGCGCACAAGTGAACACTCTTCCCAACACCGGGGTCGATGCGTCAGATGGTCGAGCCATCGTCACACCAACATCTAACGCACGTGATAAAATTGCAGCAATTAACGACGCGAACGTCGGCCATCAAGCAATTAACACACCACATGCAACGATCCCGGATGAACGGGGGGA